AGACGAGTGATGACCGCAGGAAAAATGGAGCCTGGTCGTGTAATGACTGGTGAAGGAGGTGATGAGAGGAGAGGGCAGGGGGCAAGGGGCAGGCCAAGGGGAGGGGGGGTGGCGGAAGAGGGGAGTGAGGGGGAAGGGGGGGGAAGCTTGGAACCACAATCCGACACGCACCGCACTCTGGAACCACGTCGCTCCTGCCAACTTTTTTTTTATTCCCTCTTCGGCAAGTAACACCATTATTTATCAATGTTCCACTTCTTGCAACCTTCGTATCTCGAACCTTACCATCTTACGACTAACACTCCACGGCATCAACGCCAAACCTAGCACCACTGCTCGATCCACAACCCACCGATACAAATATCAACAAGGGTGACAACAGAACCCCGTTACCGACATCGCCCTCGCCGCTACCTATCGCCCCAATGCCCCCCCCCCCCCCCGAGCCAGCCGCGGCGAGGTGGGCATTGTGCACTCGCGGGCATCTGTCTCCATCAGCGACAACATGGAGTTCCCACCTCAACTGCACCGGGCTTGGCAGGTAGACAACAAAGGCTGCGATATTGGGATTCTTTTCTTCGCGTGCGGTGTTGCATTTCTGTTCTCCATCACTGCTGTTATTACCATCTTGCTACGGTTTACAAATCATCATCATCACTATTATCACCATATACAAAACAGGACAGCATACCACATCGCAATTCTGAAACATCCAATCATAAACATTTTAAAAAAATCAAATCCTTAAACCTTAAACTACCAACCAATCTAAACCGACCAGAAATAAACTCAGACCAAGATACCCAAAACCATAAAAAAAAGAGTCTCTCCCCAAAACCCAATCAGAATGCAAATACGAACAAGCGCCTTTCCAAATCGTACGACTGCGCAAATAAGTCCATCCCTTTACAGCAGTTCACGAGCCAAATGCAACAGCAGCAAGAAGAGCAGGCTGATATTTACGACAGAGGAGAATCCTTTGGAGTCTTACGAGGAAAGCACGAAAAAAATATTATATATATTAAGATTCGTATAAATGGATAAAACAAAAATAAATGAGTAACTAGATGAAGCTAACAGCAATCTGGGAGACTGGAAGCTGCGCGCGTGGGCGACAGGAAAGCGAGAGTGGGATCAAAGAGTTAAAATGCAAGAGGAGAAGAAAGGATGATGATGATAATGATTTGGCAAGGAGGATTTGGGGGAGAAAGAGAAAGAGGAAGAGAGAAAGAGGGAGGGACAGGGGGAGAAGGGGAGAGGGGGAGAGGGAGGGGGAGAGGGAGAGAGGGAGAGAGGGGAGAGGGAGAGAGGGAGAGAGGGAGAGAGGGAGAGAGGGAGAGAGGGGGGAGAGGGAGAGGGCGAGGGGAGAGAGAGAGAGAGAGAGAGAGAGAGAGAGAGAGAGAGAGAGAGAGAGAGAGAGAGAGAGAGGAGAGAGAGAGAGAGAGAGAGAGAGAGAGAGAGAGAGAGAGAGAGAGAGAGAGAGCGCACATAGAAAAGAAAAGGGGAAAAATCTATATCAATATACATCTCACTCACGTTGTACATTTCTTTTTTTTCACGAAATTCCTTTCCAATTCCTCCAACTCAGGTCCAGCCAATGTTTATGTTCTCGCGCTCCGTCATCCAACTCCTTTCTCCGCACCCTTTATTGCTTAGCTTCCAGTCATGCAGGATGTCACTTGCTTTGCCTAGAACACGAACCACCGCTTACACAGGGAATCAAAACATGTTCGAACCCCCGTGTCAGTCTTTGTCTCTGTTTCTCTCTCTCTTTCCAACGCATAAAGGGACTTCCGCACGTAGGCACACGAACGCGCATACCAAGAACAAGCGTAAACACACACACACACACACACACACACTCACACACTCACTCACTCACTCACTCACTCACTCACACATACATACACACACACACACACTCACTCTAACACATTCATTTAGACTCGTAATTACACGCAATACAGAATTTTATGCACTGCAATGCCACTTCCTCTGAGATTCCCGTCTAGCATTCGCGCTTTCCTTGGGCGAGAGAAGCCACACGCAAGGGACTCGGACACGCTTAATTTGTTAAAAACTCATTATCCGCTTTTCATAGATCATCTTTGCGTGGCTCTCTATTCATCTTGGCGTATATAACTGTAATGACATCAGTCCAGTGATTACAATAATTCATTCATTTCTGGTTAGGTCCGTGTAGAAGAAAATCGTAATTACTTTCTTACGTAAATATCATTAATATCATCTGATCTCTATAAGGCTTTTGTTTCCATGTTATGCTGTATATGATTGGGAGTGTGTGTGTGTGTGTGTGTGTGTGTGTGTGTGTGTGTGTGTGTGTGTGTGTGTGTGTGTGTGTGTGTGTGTGTGTGTGTGTGTATGTGCGTGTGCGCGTGTGAGTCCGTGTGAGAACAAAAGCAAAACAAAACAAAAAAATAATAATCCCACAATAAATATCTGGCACCATGCACGGCAAATACACCAACAGTGAAGCTCTGCTGAATCCGTACAAAAGCATTTAATACTCATCAGCATTTGTTAACAAATTATGCAATTCTTTACCATACAATAAAGACCACGTCGTGCTGTGCTTCCAAATGTTACCATTCAACATTCTGGCCGTGGCATATCAGCTCAAGATCAAAAGGTAACCTATCATAAACGCAATAAACGTTTTGCTACAGCATCATGCCATAGCCAACTAGGCGAGAATACATGTAGGTATGCATGCAATTTATATATAGAGGCATGTACAGGATATGCATTTATGAATGTTCGGACGCATAAATGGAATGAGTGGGAGGGGCAGAGGGAGGGAGGGAGGGAGGGAAAGGGAGAGGAGGGAGGGAGGGAAAGGGAGAGGAGGGAGGGAAAGGGAAAGGAGGGAGGGAAAGGAAAAGGAGAAAGAGAGAGAGAGAGAGAGAGAGAGAGAGAGAGAGAGAGAGAGAGAGAGAGAGAGAGAGAGAGAGAGAGAGAGAGAGAGAGAGAGAGAGAATTAAAGAACAAGAAGGGAGGTAGGATAAGGGGAAACAAGAACAGGGAGAAAAAAAAAAAAAAAAAAAAAAAAAAAAAAAAAAAAAAAAAAAAAAAAAAAGACCGGGGGGGAAAAAATCCGTCAGAATGTGTGGGTGCGTGTTTCTGCGAGAGATATGCAAGACCCGCGAACAAGCATGTTGTTTACGCCCGAGGCATGCTTTCTTGTCGTGTCCCTGAGAAAACAAGACGTCCCTGACCGCGTCAAACGATGAGCATGCGCAGATGTGTTTGTGCGCCCGCTCGCGTGGGGTATGCACTCCTTTCGAATTATAATGTGACTAGACAAACACACAGTTGTTAATATCATCAGCTACCGGATAATGTAATATTATACGGGCGGAGAAGGGAGAGCAAAGGGAAGGCAAAACAAGAGAGAGAAAGCTAGAAAAAAAGAGGTGGAAAAATGGAAGATTGTATATGCAGTGCATGCACAAGAAAAGGAACATGAACGACTACTATATAATTCATCCATTAATCAACGAAATTTTTACAATCAATTTCCTTAACACTATAGAAAAAATGTACCCCCAGTAGTATCTATAGCTGCTTTAATCTAGCAGCCACATCTACCTGACTCCGGTCTGCTATGTTTTTGCTTTAAGCATCATGTTGGGGAAAGATGGAGGGGAGGGAGGGAGGGGGAGAGGGTGTGTGTGTGTGTGTGTGTGTGTGTGTGTGTGTGTGTGTGTGTGTGTGTGTGTGTGTGTGTGTGTGTGTGTGTGTGTGTGTGTGTGTGCGTGCGTGCGTGTGTGTGTGTGTGTGTGTGTGAGAGAGAGAGAGAGAGAGAGAGAGAGAGAGAGAGAGAGAGAGAGAGAGAGAGAGAGAGAGAGAGAGAGAGAGAGAGAGAGAGAGAGAGAGAGAGAGAGAAACTAATAACTACCCACTACTGAACGTCTCACAGAATACGAGGCTAATTACGGGTAAGGAAAGTATTAGGAAATAAAGTGGTTGATTAGTGAGAATAATGGCAGGCTCGGGAGCAGAAACAGTGAAAGAAACACGCCTGAAAAGCCTCCCTCGCCCCCACTTCAGTCCCTCCGAATTTTCTAGTTTTCTCCTCTTCGATACATCCTCGTATCTTTCTTCTCTCCTCTCTTCCCTCCTTTCTTCTTTTCTTCCTCCTATCCATTCTTCCTTTCTTCTCTCATCCCTCCAATCCTCTCTCTTTTCTTCTTCTGACTACTTCCTCCTTCCTTTCTTCTCTTCTTTCCTCTCTCCTTCTTTTCTTTTTCTTCTCTCTCCTCCCTACCTTCCACCTTCCCTTCCTCTTCCCTCTATTATCCCTTCGTTCGCCCCTTTTCTTCTCTCTCCCCCTCCCATCCCTCCCACCTTTCTTTTATCTCTTCCTCTCACCTTTCCTACTCTTCACATCCTCTTATTACTGTTATTATTACTTATTATTCTTATTACTTCCTTCGTTCTCCTCTCCCGCACTCCCATCCTCCGTCCCACCCTTCTCCTGCCTCCCCTCGAGACAGGAAACAACACAGTGTGATATTTAATCAACAACCAACGACCATCATCTCGAGTCAAATTAGGGCCTCTTCTACTTCATTTAATCCCCCTCCCCCCCCTACCTCGGCCCCTAAGTCCGGCCAAACTAACTAATTGTTCTGGAAGTAATGAGGTTCCTGATTACGGTTGATTAGAGGTAATACGGCACTTGCAGTCTTAGGCAAGTAAATTCTACCGAGCGATGTAGAGCAGTTCTGTCACGGAATGTGTGCGTGTGTACACATATGTGAGTGTGTGTGTGTGTGTGTGTGTGAGTGTAAGTCTGTGTGTGTGTGTGTGTGTGTGTGTGTGTGTGTGTGTGTGTGTGTGTGTGTGTGTGTGTGTGTGTGTGTGTGTGTGTGTGTGTGTGTGTGTGTTTTCACGCTCACGTGTATGTGTACATGTTTAAGTGTGTGCTTGTGTACGCGTACGTGTGTATGTCCTCCCGCGCGTGTGCCTGCGCGAGAATGACAACTCTGGCGTGGTGTACACTGAGCCGTGTGCCAAGTTCTGTCTATAAATACCTGTTGAAACGCGACCCTCGACACAATGATCCTCCTGTACCATCCCGTCATCGTCACCATCACTATATCCCGCCAGGCTTGTTACCATTACATCCCGCTGCCGCCTCTGTCACAACAGGCATCAAGTGTCACCATGAACACCTCTCGCCCCCTCCCCCCCCTCCATCACAATCACCCCCACCCCTGGCACCGCAGCCACACCACCATCCCGCCCGCGCCGCATCCCAGCGCCCTTCCCTCCCACAAGGCCAGCTGACTTACACTCCCAATCTGCCCATATCAACAAACCCAAAGCCAAGAGCAATACTTTTCATCCCCGCGCGATACAGGTAAGCGTCTCGATTTTACAGGTAAAGGGCGTGGTGACACAGGTAAGGAGAGGTAATCTTAGGTGATAAAGCATGGCAGTAGAAGGTTCGGTAGGGAGTGGTGTGTGTGGGTGTGGATGTGGGCGTGGATGTGGGCGTGGGTGTGGATGCGGGCGTGGGTGTGGGAATGGAGGTGTGGATGATAGCGTGGGATAAAGGTGTGGGTGCGATAGAAGAACTCACTCGATGTGTCAAAAAAATCTTCATGACTGCGGGTACACAGATGTATATTTTCGTACACACACACACACACACTTTCTTGCTCCTTGTCTTCCCTCCCCCCCAAAAAAAGGATAAATCCACTAGCGTGACACATACTTTCATAAACATACACAAAATATACATACACATAAATATAACTAGATACAAACACAGACACAAACTCTCTCCTCCACTGTTCTCTCTCTCTTTCTCTTTCTCTCTATTTTTTTCTTTTTCTCTTTCGTGAGATAACGACGTAGAGTTATGCTCTCCTTTCTTCAAGGCCACTAACGCATCTCTGAGCCAAGTCTTCATCCGGATCATTAATTCGTATCGAGAGAGAGAGAGAGAGAGAGAGAGAGAGAGAGAGAGAGAGAGAGAGAGAGAGAGAGAGAGAGAGAGAGAGAGAGAGAGAGAGCGGCATAGAAAAAGAGGGAGGGAGAGAGAACGAGAGAAAATGAAAGACAAGAGAGAGAGAGAAAGAGAGATAAAGAACAGAAAAAGAGAGATAGAAAGAAAGACAAAAAGAGCATAGAAAAAGAGGGGGGAGAGAGAGGGAGGGAGGGAGATTTTATACACACACACACACATGTATATATGTACATATGTGTATATATGTGTACAGATGTGTATATATGTATATATATAATATATATATATATATATATATATATATATATATATATATATATATATATATATATATATATATATATATATATATATATACATATAAAGAGAAAGAGAGAGAGAGAGAGAGAGAGAGAGAGACAGAGAGAGAGAGAGAGCCAGGGTAAAGAAGGACATGAGGGAGACCGCGATAAGATTTCCCACGTGCAAGACCCCCCCCCCCCCCGTAAATTAAAACCAATTAGTAATCTAATTGCATTCATTTCCCCACACCCCCACCCCCTCCAAAAGTACAAGTTACACGGCCTCTCAACCCCCCCCCCCTCACGACCCCCACGCGTCGTCGAGCGCAGCACATGCTTATGACAGATACAAAATATAGAGCATGCAGTAGGTCAATCCCTTGGGTCTATTTTCTTCCTGAAATTGGAGGAGAGAAGGAGGAGGGAAGGAGAGAGGGAGGAGGAGGAGGAGGGAGGGAGTGAAAGTGATGGACAGAGGGGAAGGTGGAACGAAGACACGAAGGAAGGCTCATAAATTGCCAGGCGTAATGAAACCTGACTGTTTCTCTTCACAGCCATACCATCCCCCGCCCTCCTCTCATTCTCCATTTTCGCTCCTCCCTAATTCTCTTCTCTGTTCTCTTTCTCCTTTTTCTGTTTATCCCATTTTCTTTAACCCCCTCCCCCCGCTATACCGTTCCCCTTCTCCCTCAATTTCCCTCAACACACCACAATCCCCCCTTTTTCTCCCACTCTTTCTCCACCCTCCCCCTCTCTTTCCCTCCCTTCGCCTCCTCTCTCTGTTCTCCCCCCCTTACCCTCTCTTTCCCTCCCTTCGCCTCCTCTCTCTGTTCTCCCCCCTCCCCCCCTCTTTCCCTCCCTTTGCCTCCTCTCTATGTTCTCTCCCCCTCCCCCTCTCTTTCCCTCCCTCCCTTCGCCTCCTCTCTCTGTTCTCCCCCCATCCTCGCTCTCTTTCTACAGGCGCCTTCCCGTGATTGCTTATCTCCTGCTGATGAAGATATATCACCTGTACATTCTAAGCCTTAAAATACCCGTGCGCTTCACCTGGCCGCCGCGCCCCCGCCCATACATCCCCGCGCGGACCTCTCCCTGCCCCCGTCGCCCTAAACCACCAGGTATCCCCAGCATCACCCTCAATCACCCTGGGTGCCACAAAATGTGCCCCGTGCCACCTCGGGCGCACAATACATATCCGAGGTGCCACACTAATCTAACCTACTGGCACACCACCCAATGCGCGCTACGAGAGCCGCACCATGGCACCATACTTAGAATACCGCCCCACCATGGCTACACCTGGAGCGAGACACCTGCACCCACGAGGAGCCAACAAAGCGGCGGCGGCGGCTGACGCATTCAACAGTATTCTCTCCGTCTCGTCTCCATATCTTGGCCCTTCCTTCGCCCCGTCCCTTCTTTCTGCTCCCTCTTACTCCTTTGGTCCTCTCTCTCCCTCTCTCTCTCTCTCTCTCTCTCTCTCTCTCTCTCTCTCTCTCTCTCTCTCTCTCTCTCTCTCTCTCTCTCTCTCTCTTCTATTGCTTTCCGCGTTCGCCCTTCCTTCTTTCTCTTCCGATCTGTCTTATTTCTATTCTACCTATTGTTTTTTCCTATTAATTCCTTTATCCTTCCTCTTCCCCTCCTTTCTCCAGAATCTTCTTACACCTCCCTTCACTTCCCTCATTTCTGTTCTCATTCCTCACTTTCTTTTCCCCAAATTATCTTCTCCTTTCTCCGAACTCTCCCCTCCCATCGCCTCTTCCTCCTCCTCCTCCCTTCCGCCCTCCTTCCCCTCCCTTCGGCTCTTCCCCTTCCTTCTCCTCCTCCTCCCTCCCTAAGGCTCTTCCTCCTTCTCCTTCCCCTTCCCCCTTTCCTTCCTTCGCCCCCCACCCCCCTTCTTCTCGACGTCTCTTTGATGTGTCTCGGCGTGAGCGTCATTCCGTCCACCTGATAACCATTAACGAGTAACAAAAGCTTACAGGAATAATGGAAAACTCGGCGCAATCGAGCGGCGGTAACAAAAAAAAAGGAAAAGAAAAAGGAAAAGGAAAAGGAAAAAGAAAAAGAGAAAGAAGCAGAAAGAGAAGGAGAAAGAGAAAGAGAAAAAGAAACAGGAAAAAGAAAAACAGACAGAAAGAAAAATAAAAAATAAAAAAGAAAAAGAAAAAGAAAAAAGAGGAAAAAGAAAGAAAAAAAGACATACTAGAAAAATATGTGAACGTGAAAAAATAATACCGAAAGGGAAAAAAATATATATTTTTATACTTTTAATTTTCTTTGTCATTCTATTAACAAGATATAGAGTACGTTGACATTCACACACAGAGAAGGGATTTAATGATAAATGAAACCTGTATGTATGTGTGTATATGTTTATACGTATGTGTGTGTGTGTGTGTGTGTGTGTGTGTGTGTGTGTGTGTGTGTGTGTGTGTGTGTGTGTGTGTGTGTGTGTGTGTGTGTGTGTGTGTGTGTGTATACATCTACTTACGTACATACACACACATATGCACACACATACACATGTACACGTACACCCTCCCCACTCACACACACACACACATATATAAATATATCTACATAGGAAATAAGCATTTTCTATTTTGGGAAAAATGCTGTCAGTCTGAGGCAGGCGGATAATAATAGATCCCTTTTTTTCGGGGAGAAAAATTGACCTCGTTTCTTATAACATCAAAGGAACTTTAAGCTTTCTCTTTCTCTTTTTCTTCCTTCCCTACTTTTCTTATCGCCAGAAAGCATAACTTGTGAGATATAGTCCGGCCGTTCGGGAAAGGAGAGGGAAGCGCGAATGAGAGATAAGAGAGAAAACGAGGGAGAAAAAGGGAAGGAGAGAAAAGTTAGAAAGGGTGGGCGAAAGATGGCGGGAAGGAAGGAAGGAGTGAAGCAAGGGGGGAGGAATAGGAGAAGGGAGTGAGAGGAGGAAGACGAAAGGAGAAGGAGGGAGAGGCAGGGGAAGAGGGAAAGGAAGAGAAAGAGTATAAAGGCAGTGTTATAAGGAGGAGAGCGAGAAGGAGGAAGGGATGGAAGGAGTGGGGAGTGCGGAGGGGGGAGGGAGGGAGAGGCAAGGAGGGGGAGGAAGAGAGAGGGAGGGGGAGGGAGAGGCAGGGAGGGGGAGGAAGAGAGAGGGAGGGGGAGGGAGAGGGAGGGAGGGAGGGAGGGAGGGAGGGAGGGAGGGAGGGAGGGAGGGAGGGAGGGAGAGAGAGAGAGAGAGAGAGAGAGAGAGAGAGAGAGAGAGAGAGAGAGAGAGAGAGAGAGAGAGAGAGAGAGAGAGAGGGAGGGAGAGAGGGAGAGAGGGAGAGAGGGAGGGAGAGAGAGAGAGAGAGAGAGAGAGAGAGAGAGAGAGAGAGAGAGAGAGAGAGAGAGAGAGAGAGAGAGAGAGAGAATATTAAAATGAAGAAAGAAAACAGAAAAGAAATAAAGAAACAAGATAATAAAGGATGAAGACAGAGAGAAAAGGGAGAAAGAACGAAGAGAGAGAGAAAAAAAGAAACGCGAGACAGAGAGAAGAGGGAGAAAAACAAGAGCCGCGAGTTGTGCCGATTCATTCTTCCACGAGGCCGGTGACCGCCACACACGTCCGTCGCTTGTTTCACCGCTGCTGCCGTCACCTCCTTCGGTTTTCTGCATTTTTTTTTCAAACTTGTGACGATGTAATTTTATTCATCTATAGATTAACTTAGTCCCCATCTTGTCCAGTGTTCCATGTGCTATCGCCACCTCCAATGGACTGCCTCCACTACCGCAATTCAACAATTTATTAGTACAATTTCTGCCCAGAATTAACCGAACTCCCATTGACCATCAATTTCTACCAACCCTATCACTTCGCACAGGGTCTTCGTGGGCGTCCGACTGTACAACCCTGTCCTGTTCCGACTCCTGCTCCTCTTTCCTCTGCTTCTGCTAGTGCTGCTGTTCCTCTTCCTCTTATCTTCGGCCTCATTTTCTTGTAAAATCTCCTGTCTCTTATTTTTTTTTCCTCGTCCTTTTCTTCTTCGTCCTCTTTCTCCATCATCCATTCTTCCTCCTCTTACTTCTCCTCCAGCCTCTCCTCTCCTCCTCCTCCTCCTCCTTTGCATTTTCCTCCTCCTCCTCCTTTGCATTTTCCTCCTCCTCCTCCTACGCCCTCTCCCCCTCCCCCTCCTTCGCCCTCTCCTTCGCTCTCTCCTTCGCCCTCTCCTCCTCCTCCTCCTCCTCTTCCTCCTCCTCCTCCTCTTCCTCCTGCTCCTTCGCCCTTTCCTGCTCCTTCGCCCTTTCCTGCTCCTTCGCCCTTTCCTGCTCCTTCGCCCTCTCCTGCTCCTTCGCCCTCTCCTGCTCCTTCGCCCTCTCCTGCTCCTTCGCCCTCTCCTGCTCCTTCGCCCTCTCCTGCTCCTTCGCCCTCTCCTGCTCCTTCGCCCTCTCCTGCTCCTTCGCCCTCTCCTGCTCCTTCGCCCTCTCCTGCTCCTTCGCCCTCTCCTCCTCCTCCTTCGCCCTCCTCCTCCTCCTCCTCCTCCTCCTCCTCCTCCTCCTCCTCCTCCTCCTCCAGTCCTCAGCCACGAACGACCTCACGCAGTTAGATTTCGGATTCGCTTCGTCACCCTCACGCCGACGCGAACGGCTTAATGGTTACCGCCGCCGCTCCTGCCATTCGTGAACGTAAATGACAGGGAAGGAAAGTGAACGCGGCGACACGACAAACAAACAGACGCTCAGATGCTTACGCGCAAACGCACCTACAGTTAAACACACATCCCGTGCGTCTTCAAGGCCCCTTCATTGTCTTCAATCCAGCGTCCTATAATTCATCATATATTACGCCTCCCCTGGCGCTCGATTACACTTGATTCCTCAAAGTCCTTCTGCTAAGACTTGTAATTCCTCAACTGCACGTCCATCATCCTCCAAGACCATTAACACACACTCACGCACATGCCCGTACGGGTATACGTACGTATACACACACACACACTGCCCGTCTCCCCCACTCCCTCACGCACACGCACACGCACTCGCACACGCACACGCACTCGCGCACACACACGCACTCACGCACACACACACACACACACGCACACACACACACACACACCCTCTCTCTCTCTCTCTCTCTCAAACTACCTTTCGCATTCCCCCCCGCCCTGTGCTGGGAACTCCAAAGCTCTTGTAAATTCCTTCCTTCTCGTGGGGACTGCCTTTCCCCCCATATTTCTCTCCCCTTTTTTTTCTTATGAACGGTATAAGTAAAGTGACACCAACACTTTTTTGAGCAAACGGTTATGCGAACACGAACAACTGCGCTACCCCCACGTGCTTGCAACTTTGACAACTGCAGCGTGTAATCGTTATTTACAGCGGAAAATCATCAAAAATGACCCGCAGCCGCCGATAACTGTACGGAGCGGAAAACGGCCATTTGTAGCTTAAGCTCTGTGTTGTTGCCGGGGCTGTGTCGATGAACCGCGGGCCACTAAATGTTATGTGAATGTACGCGCGCCCGTGTGCGTCAGTGTGTGATTGTCTGTACGTTTGTGAGTGAGGGACAAACATGCACAGAGGGGGGTGGAGTGGTAGAGGGAGAGATAAAGGGAACTGGAGAGGGAGGGAAAAGGGAAGGAGAGAGGGGGGGAAAGGGGGAAGGCGAGAGGGAGGAAGAGAGGGAGAAAATAATAGATAATGAGAGAGGGAGGGGATAGGAGAAAGGGAAATGAAAAGGGAAGGGGGTAGAGAGAGAGAGAGAGAGAGAGAGAGAGAGACAGAGAGAGAGAGAGACAGAGAGAGAGAGAGAGAGAGAGACAGAGAGAGAGAGAGACAGAGAGAGAGAATGTATTCACGCACGCATGCATACATTACCGGCCAGACTGACCCAGTGCGAGAGCCAACTGAGCCCGTCCCCAGTCCTCTCTTGCTTGCATTACCGCCTGCACATAAAAAAAACCCTGCCACACCACGCCGCCCCTTCAACACCTCTTCTTTTCTCCCTCCTTCGGCCAATTCTCTACTTCCACTTTACATCTCGCATTCCTTCCAGACCTCTGTTACGGTTTCCATCATCATCTTTATGCTGTTCCATCATCACTCGTCGTCCTTTTTATTTCCTTTTCTTCTTCATTCCCTTCCCCCCCCCCTCCTTTTCTCAATGTTTCTAAGTATTACAATTCCCTTCCTCCTCCTCTTAGTCTTCTTATTCTTCCTCTTCCTCCTCTCTCGCCTCCTATTCTTCGTTTTCGTCTTCTTATTCTTCCTCTTCCTCCTCCTTCCTACCCTTCCACTTCCCTCTTCTTCCTCCTCCTGGAACTCCTAGTCACAGTTCCCCTTCCGCTTTGTCTCTCACTTCCATTAATCCTTTACAACCCA